TCTCCCTGTGTGGTCTCAGCAACGTCTCATTATTAATCCATACAGGTCAGACGGACACTGACTGAGTCTCTGCCTCTCTCTGACACACACTTTCACATGTGATAAGTCACTTTGCAAGTGAGGCAACTGTTTAAATTGGATTGAATTATAGACGAGCATCAGCAAGGAATCTTTAATAGATGACTTATGACAATGCAAGAATACCAAAAAAAAAACATCGGGCCTTCTCTGTATTCAGTGCGTGAGGAATGAAGAACGGCCGTCTCGATGGTGTGACCTCTCCAGAGGGGGCGTGAGAAATGCGACGAACAAAGAGTGAGGCTGTTACAGCGTGACAGAATTACAGAGTGGCTCAAGACTTGTGCTTGCTAAATTGCAAAAGCTCAACTTGACTGGGGTGAAAACAGGGCTTGGAGAAGTTCTCGTCAGGTGAGCAGAACATAAATAAACCAGCAAAAATCTCCATGAACAGAGAGGCGGACAGAAAGAGACAGACGGGGGTTCATCTCATATTAATTATCGGGTTTTGTTTTTAAACACCGACTCAAAAAATTACTAGCAGTGGGATTAGCCTGCTTTCTTTGGCCCCAAAATAAATATTTATACAGTAGTCACTCGCTACTTTGCGATTCGACTTTCGTAGACTCGCTAAATCGCGGTTTTTCAAAGTAAGAGTGAACATGAAACACAACTGGCTGATTGATGGATGAGCCACACCAGTGGCATGGATTGTTTATTTAAAATAAATTATTTTAAATGATTTAGCACCTGCTGCACCTGTGTGCAGCCCACAGGTGCAGGGAGAAGCTCCCTCTACAGCCTGTCATGATCTCTCTACTCTCTGCCACACCCACATTTCTGCTCCGTGCTGAAGCAGCTTCGTGAAGGGTTAACCCTTTGCTGCCCAGGCGTAGCGATCGACTTTTGTCTTCCAACTGAAAATTCAAAGTATGTCACATCGTAAAATCGCCATAATCACAAAATTTAAAAGTGTTGTTATTTTTAATTATTTTAGAACTTCTATGTTCAGTTGTTACAGTGACACAAATCAAGAAGTACATTACTGCTCCGTGCCGCATCAACTACGTGAAGCTGCTGCGCTTCTCTTCTCTACTATTTAAATATAAATACTGTTTATTTAAAATATTGCAGTATTTAAATTTAAATTGTTTATTTGCACAGAAGGTGGGAGACTGGGAGTGAAACTTGAACTTGGACTACTGTGTCTCTACTTCACGGTTTGTCACTTATCGCGGGGGGCGTGGTCCTCTAAACCCCATTAAAAACGAGGGACTACTGTATCTTAAATAAATAGACAAAAAAAAAAAACAACTATAAGACATCTCAGAATTAAAAAAAAAATTGTATTAGACAGAAAGGTAGTATTTCTGACAAAAAATGTGAACCTACTAAATTAAGCAAAGACAACAAACAAGCAATCCTGACAGACTAACACTTTTTACTTTTGTTTAAAAAAACATGTGCAAGTCTGTGCTGGTATGACTGTCATAATCCATGTTTTTCATGATCTGCAGAATAAAATAAAGAGCCAGTATATGAAATAATCATAATTAATGCTCGACCTTCCTTTGCTCCACTAAAACCTATAATCCAAATCGACTTAGAACTATAATGACTTTACCATTCTTACTGCATCACAGGATGGGTTGGAGGTTTGCTGCAAGTTAGGAAAACTTCATGCGCATGCAAAAGCACATGTACATGCAATCACATAAAAAAAAGACACTTTTGCTTATGAAGTCATTTTCGTCAACCTATATTCAATGAATGCTGAGTGAGACATGACGTTATTTCTTAGCAATGCTCAACTTTCTTTTTTCTTCATACTCTTACATCAGAAACCTCTTTAGTAGCTCGTGTTTGTGCTCTGCCACCAGAGTGAGGTTCAAATACAGAAACTCAGAGGGTTTATTGGTCACTTTCTCCAGATTTTATTATTTGGTCCACTAAAGTAAAAATAGACAGTCACATGCGAAACAGGCTTCCACATCCTTCAGGCTATCACAGGTCCATTAAAGAGGAGGATCATTAGTCTCCATCAGTTTGGTGCTGCCCGGGTCTATCCCTGAGTCGTGCTGCTCATATGAACTTGATGTATCGCGAGGCTAAAAAACAATGGTCTAAAAATAGAGCATAGCTGACGCTGGTGGCCCGTAAGGGTTTGCATGTTAGCATTGTTTGTTAACAGTGAATACTGTAAGCACTAATGTGCGTCTGTGTGCATGTGTGAACATAAACCCAACTCATCCTCTGGGTTTTCAGTGAGCAGATTCAGAGAATTATTTTGATTGAACATGATGTTAGGTTCTGTTTCTCCCCCAACCTCTGTGTGTGTTAAGCAAACAAAGAATAATGTGGACAGACTAAAACAAATGTTACATTGCTCATCCGTTCCAGGCATTCACTAATCTAATGTATACAAAAATGAGCTAACAACACAAAATTAAATGTTATGTAAGCTGCCCAACTGATGAATATAATCTCTGCAATGGCACAAAGTTTGTGTTTAGATCTCTGAGAGGTTGTGCTGCTGAGAACGGAGGCAGGTTTGAGCATGTTTTGAAGGGTGGTCTGTGTCTTGGGGTCAGAACAGAGCAGATCTATTACCTCTCAAGTAATGCCATCAACAAGAGCTCAAGGTTTTTGGTATTGTTGTAATTTGAGACCACACAGATGAAGTCACTGGTTCAGATAACATGCCTGAAAGCTTCATATAAATTCTCTATAACATCACAGCCTGAAGCTTTCCTTTCCAATATTTGATAAGTTTACTTGCTCTGGTAGACAGTGCATATTCCCAGCACATAGAAACACATTGGAGATGTCCTACTGGAGTCTACACTTTGACATAAATGTTTTTTCTTGATGCACCTTTCCAAAGCTTTGACAAAGACATCAACTTCACTGGTTTACTTTGGCTGTCTGCCACTTTGCTTTAGGCAGGTAACGGAGAAGGAACTTGCCTGAGTTTGTAAGCTGAGAACAGCTGTCTGCAGGTTTTATGGGCCTACATTGTTTTGGTCCGTGCAACCAAAACAAAGAGCTGAAAAGCACTCAGGTGATGATATTCAGCATCAACTCTGTGAACCCCTCTACTCAGTTTACAATGTCAGCATGGAAATAAAAGTTGAATACAGCCTTTAGTTTGGTACATAAAGGGACATTTTAAAGATTTAACAAAAATACAGACGGTGTTGCTCTAACTAAACGTCTAGAAACAATCACGTGCATGCACCAAACACAGCACAGTCAAAAAGTGCCTTCCCTTTACAGATTTTTTAGGTTTTTACCATCTTGTCACCATTTAATATTTCAAATCAGCAGGTGAAATTTATTATCACACAAAGATAACCTGAATGAGCACAACATTAGGTTTTTAAATGATTTTATTTATTTGGGGGGGGGGGGGGGGGGGGACTATCCAAACCAACCTAGCCCTATGTGAACAAGTATTTGAAATCCTTGTTAAATCATGAATTAACTGTGACTAACTGCAGATTTTGGAAAGCTGAGTTCAGTTTTATTAGCCACACCCAGACAATTAGTTTTTCACTTAGAGTCAGGACGGTTTGGATAACTTTTTTACGAAGGAAATCATAGAAAACAGCATTTTGTATTGACTCCTGCTATCTTAGGCTGACATTAACGTTTGTTTGATTATCTGAAAAGCACAAGTGTAACAAGTAAAAACAGAAAAAAATCAGTGAGGGGGAGAATACCTAGTCAAAGCGCTGTTTGCACAAGTCATGTCTTACAGACAAAAGACTATAAGTAAAATAGGTCTCTCTTGTAAAAAGAGTCCTCGTGGCTCAATGAGACTAACCTGTATAAATAAAGGAATGAATGAATGAAAAAAAAAGTCTTATTATAAGGTTTAGCTAATACATGATGAAAGAAAAGACAATTTGAGACAAAGCTTTCTATTAATGAGACAGTTAATGTTGTCAGTCCATATTTTAGTAACTGAAGGAATCCGGCTTCAGTGTCCTATTTGGCCCTCAAATGCTAAAGCGGTGATTAATTTCATCACATTCAGAAAAGCTTGAGGTCATGCTAATGCTGTTTGTCTTTGTGGCCTACATCATTCTTCATGAACAAGAAGGGGTAAATAAAAAACAACTACTTTTATTCACACTGGAAAAACGTTCCTTTGGGAAGATTAGCCATGCCAACATATCAAATCAGTGTGGACAAAAGGAGAAGAATATGGATGGGTGGGTGTAGAAAGACGGGATTAAAAAGAGGACGGAAAATATGTTTTTGAATGAGAGATCTGCTTTAATGACAGCGTAATGGCAACGGACAGCCATTCTCCCCCCTCTGGCTAACTCTGGAGATCTTTGCTTTATTTTTCTAACGAAATAATTCCTGTGTAGCATCCACATAACAAAATTATAATCAACGAAAGAAGAAAGAATGCTCCTACAAATGGAAAATGATCAAACACCATTAAGAATAGATGTACATCTATATGAACCTTTTTTTTTTTCTAAAGTTTAGATGACATGCAGGGAATGACTGATTCATGAATGTCCTTTTAAAAAAAAATACTCTGGATTTTAATCAACACAAACCTTATTTGTTTGCATATTGGCTGTAATGTTTCTTTGTCTTGGGAGAAGATTTAAACATTGGTACAAAAAGAGTTATATTTTTAGAAAATAGTCCATGTTGCTTATTAGCTAAAAGAATGAGATCTGGATAAGTTAAAAAAAAAAAACATATTCCTTGCATTTTCTTGTTTTCTTTTTCACCTTGTGGAGTTTACATTAGTATATATCTGCTCCTCCATGACACTGCCAATACTAGGAATCCACGGATTTAGTAAATGTTTGTGTATGAATTATTAAAGCTAATACTGATATTTGCTTTTGGACATATAGGGATGAAAGCTTCAAGAACGACTAGCAGCTGGGAGAAGGGGAAGAGTTTAGGAGGAAAAAAAAAGAAAGTGAAAGGAAAAAAGGGGCTTATCTTACCTTCCAGCACTGTAAGCTTGGCACTGGTGTTGATCTCGCCAGCACTGTTAGTCGCTGTGCACTCGTAAATGGCTTCATCTCTGGGGGTGCGCAGTGGCTGGATCCGCAGTACAGAGCCCGAGCCATCATCAAATTCAATCACCTGTGAGAGCCGCAGCACAGCAAAAGGCCAGAAATGTTATTTTTAGTGGCCTCTTTTCCTTTTCCAAACATATTACCTTATTGCAAGATACAACAAAAATTGATTTAGACTTGACAATATCAGTTTTTGCCTTAAATTATTTTTCACATTTTAAACTTGAAAGCCAGATGGGTAATTATCACACAAAGTCCAAACTGTCTGATGTGGACATCTGTGTTCTCACATGGATCTATGTCCTAAAGAGAGGTTAAATAAAGTGGCATAAAGGCACGCGTTATATTTATATCATTTTGTTATACATGCATTTGTGGTCACTTATATTTTGACAATGTATATATCAGGGCTATTCAACTGGTGACCCGCGGGCAACTTCAGTCTCGACCACCAATGAAAAAAAAATGTTTTAATAAATTTTTTTAGGGGGGTGGGGGGTTTCTGTGTTTTGGGTTCTATTTATTGCATTTATGATTCAATGTAATAAAACAAACACATTTAAAAGGTAACAGATCATTATAATACTTGGTTTATTTACATAGTGACTTTCATCGCTGGATGTCCGGCCCCTGAGTTGCTTTCAGAAACTGTGGCCCCCTGAGCAGTTTTGTTGAATAGCTCTTGTATATATACTTGTCCTGATGCATGCTCTATAATCCAGGTAGAAAATTCTAAAAAAGTTGAGTCAGGTCCTCTGGACGGATTCTTCTTCTTGAAACGTTACGTCTTTTATCTAAAAGACTTCATCAGTTTGATGAGCTGAACTAAACTCAGTCTTATAAATAGCACCTTCACATAGTGGATCAACCAGTTTGATGGTGACAGCCAAAACTAGTTGTTCACGTGATAAAGGAGGACCATCAGCCTAACGACTGATCGTTAGTGCCCTGATGGTCACTTGCTATTCACAGGGAGCTGAGTGATACCAGCACGAGATGGGGTAGAGGCAGGGCAGCCGACCTGGGACCCAAAAGTCCCATGTTTGATCCCCAGCCATTCACACATGTCGTGGTGTCTCTGAGCAAGACACCCAATCCCAATCCCTGGATGTATCCCAGGTGCGATGGGTTAAATGCAGAGAACTAATTTAAATGTTGTATGGGAACATACAGTGATGACAACACATAGCACTTATTATTATTATTATTATTATTATAAATAACAGCATTATAAGAAGGTGACAATTGGACATGGGCATACATTTATACATATGTATGTATACATACATACTTGTATTTTTTCATGTAAAAGTCATGACTTAGCACCCACCTCGAAGCGCTGGGAGCTAACTTTCTTGCCTTTCTTCATCCAGGTTATTCTAGGCTTGGGTTCTCCAGTGGCCTGGCATACAAACGATGCAACCCCCCCAGAGATACCTGTCTGGTCCTCGGGGGTTTTGATGAAACTTGGCAAGCCTGGGAAAGATGAAGTAAAGGGGTAGAGGGAGGGAAAAGAGTAAATGGAATGGAACAAAATAGATAGAGAGGGACAGGTGAAAGTGATGTTAGCGACTGTTCCACGCAAGCATTTTAAACATTGTAAACTTTAGGTATCACTTTCTTCTCACAAAGGCATTGTTGCTCTGCACACCTGCAGCTCAGTCATGGGGAGAAAAAAAAAAATCAGTCTTTGTGTCTGCCTGTCACTGAATCATGTTGAATTTCAAACATTTTTTTTTTTTTTAGATGAAGCTTCTGAAACAGCTGGCATCATCCACAATCCAAACAAGACAACTACTGTGTTTGGAGTCTGTGCCTTTCCAACTTCATTGATGATGCGTGTTTACAACAACATTGTGCAGTGCCATGGAGAGAACCTCCAACTGTGTTTTCATTCTTTTGCCTCGAGGGTTTGACTGGGCACCACACCTAGCATCATTGTGCACAGGACAATGAAGTGTGTATCTCATTGACAGCCTGTCAAACCTGACATGATGCTACAATGAGCACACCTTAGCTCTCTGCTATAGCCTCCGTGCAGACATGCATAATCCTGGCCTTAGCAGCAAGAGACAATGCTACCAGCTATTACTAGCTCCGTCAGCTCATGTTTCATCTGTAGAGTCATTAAAAAAGGGGCAGACAAGCAGACTGCCCCATTGAGACATGCACAAAGGGGTAAATCATTATGCTCTGTACACTGGAGCCGCCAGACTTTCCCTCACCGAGAACACACTGGGGAAATCCAGCAACAGCTTTCACCATTCTACTCTTTTTTGTATGTTTTCTGATATACTAACATTGCAGGAAAAATATGGAATGTGGGGTCAATATCTGGACAGAATAACCCAGCAAATCATTCAGAAACCATGCCACCACTCAGTATTCACAAGGGGAAGAGAGATGGTGCAAGGTGTCTTTGCTCAAGGTGTTTTCTTTAAGCAGTAGAAGAATGTAGAATATAATAAGAAACTGCAAACCTGCAGGCACAAAGTGTGCAATAATACATAAAACTTTTATGTTGAACATCGTGAATGCAAACATTCAAATGTGGGTCAGAGAGAGGGGTCGCCACAGTGAAAAACACCTGCAGGAATCCAGTGGAGGTGATTTATTGAAATATTACACAGCTAATTTTTACAAACTACTTTTATTTTTGCATTATTCTGTTTCTTTTTAAAAAAATCTAAAATCTCTATAAGAACTAAGGAAAGACCATTATAGTGAAGCTAAAATTATTTGCGTGTAAAAAACAAAATTGTAAAATGAAACATCCAATTAATAAAAAATACTAGGAAGATGGCCAAATGAAGTTTTATCTCCCCCCCCCCCCCCCCCCAAAAAAAAAAAAGACAAAACTACCGTACAAACACCAGCAAAGAATAACGGGAGTAAATATTTCCTGCTGTGTAGACGTTTGTCTTATTTAATTAATTTAATTAATTTGATGAGTGCGTGTTTATGAAAATTTTAAACGGGCTCTTTTATGAGTTCAAATAAAAAATTTAAACTGTTTTTGTCATAAATTAATTACACACTTGAAAATTGTGCTTGGCTCGGTGCCACGATGAGGTCAAAGCATATATTGTTGTAGCAATATAATACATTATGAATCAAATACACCTTCAAAACTGCACTGAACGCACAAAATGGAAAACAAACGTTATTTACTATGTTAAAAAGAAAATCAATCAAATTGTGCACAAAGCATGTGGTGTTCAAATAGTGGTCATATAAGTTCAATACATTCAAGATAATCTGGTCCTATCTTTTCACCCATCCATCCATCTATTCATTCGTTCATCCATCCATCTGATAGTCCTTTCAACCACCTGGAAATCTAATGATATTTTTGTCCCGAGGATAAGATTTAGACGGCTCTGGCACAGCCATAAATCCTTTTCTATAGCAGCCAAATGTGACTGACACATGCAGGTGGCAGTGGGAGAGCTATATTCAAGATTAAATCCAGATAAGCATGAGGAATGTATGCCAGAGCATGCATCAGTGCGTGCATGGATGGTGGGGTGGAATCTTCGAGACGTGATTATCACCAATCTGACTTCCAAGAGTTGCCACAGACATCTGTCCATAGCAGTTTCCTTGGGATTGCCGTCTTTCCACTTTGATACCCCAATGAAGGCTCAGACAGCATTAAAAAAAAAAAAAAAAGCCTTCTGCACATGCTTCGTGTTAACGGATGGCAAATCACAACAAAAACGTTTAATTCAGGAGCCTCAGAATCTTAAAACTTGTGAGGATTTTAGATGCGGGTCAACTGGCCTCAGTGAGGTTTTCCCGCATTAATCCTCTCAGACATGCCCTCTATAGCTGACCTGTGTCTAAAAGGCCAACGTATGGCAAATTTGAAGCTGTTCATTGTTAATCCAAATCTCAAATTCAATCCCAAGATTTCAAGAAGCACTCTCGTGACCCTAAACCCCTGACTTACAGATGGGGTTAATAGTGGTCCTAACACACTCCATTGAAACGCCAGAAGCATTTATTTCTGGACGAGGAGAGCGTTTGCTTTCCTCCATCACTGTGCCACTGCAGGTGGCTGAGGATATCAAAACTGGTGGGTTTGTCAGTTCTTTTCTAAGAGAGACAAAATCCAGACTCATCCTTTTTTTTTTCTTCTCTAGCTTGCGCCCCATTTTTCTGGCTGTCAGGCAGTTGTCGCATGAAAACAATGAAAGGGACAAGGTGGAAAACACACAAGCCTACCTATGCAAATTCTTCTCTCAGCCATGACTGCAAGCTCAGAGCTGCACTCTTTCTATGCTTTCAAGCATCGCATCCAAAACTCCTATTTTGTCAGAGCTTTAACATGAATTCTTATTTATCTGCCAATGCGTAGAACGAGCTGAACATTTCTCCAGAATATATCTGGTAGTAAGTTGTAGCATCTTTAGAACTACTGTTCATGACTGCTTCATTTTAATACAACTTTAGCCCAAATTACTATGTAATTACTAAAAATAAATCAATAAATTAGTTAAAGTCAAAATCAAAGTGGACAAATGTATATATATATTTCAATGCATAATGTTTTATTACTGATTTTGATCACCAACTAATGCAACGCATATAAAACCACAATCTCTGTTCAAACGGTGCACAAAACAGTCATGGTTGATGGTGGGACCAAACAATTTGCTTTAACAAGTGCAAAAAGCCTTTCATGTTATAACGAAGGAATTAATTACATGAATGATTAAGAGGGGAAAAACACATTCAGTAAAAAATTAAAATAAACTCTTATTTTGTAGTACTATTAAGTGTTTCTGTGTAGTGCCACTCATTCTGATTTGCATGTTAAAATATCTTTCAAAATCATAGCTGTATTATGGAAATTACTTTAAACCATTTTATTGCCTTATGAGCAAAAACCTAATGCAAATTGTTAGCACTTTTTACTGGTTCGTGTTAGAATCAAGTCATACCATTTAGCTGTTATGCTACATCATAGACATTTAGTGGAATACATGTGCAAAAATACACATTTTGAACAATTTCAATATGCAATTTATATTTGACACTACGTTCATGCTGATGAGTCTCCTCAGAACTTGGTTTTAGGAGGGACTGAAGAGTGCTGACTGCTCTGTGTGTGGGGGGATTAAACAGCTTCTGTCAGTTAACCTTAAGCCTGCAGCAGTATTTGTGAGGTCTGGGGGCTTTAAATAAATGAAGGGTGTGGTGAGCTACAGATGTGCTATTTTTTTCACTTGATAAATCTCCAAGTCTTAGGATGTGTGATCAGCAAATTAAAAAAAACAACATAAGAAATGTGTAGAATAATGGCAAAAGCAGAGAACTTTATGCTGGCAAAATAAAACAGGCAACTGTTTTCTTATGAATTTATAGATATTTTTTTCTGAAACATATGCAAATTGTTAAAGGGAACGTTTATGTTTTTCATCTTGCGGGAAGCCTCAAAGCAAGCCTTGCAATGCAGCGACAGCAGGGAGAGTAGCGTAAATGGCTCTTATGTGGCTAACAATTAGTGTATTCCCAAGCCTGCCACGGCGCCCGGTGAGAGCTACTCTGTAGGGTAGAGTATCAGCAATCGATATACACACAGCAGAAAGAAAACCATTAATTCTTATTAATAATGGATCAGCAAGTTATCATTTTCATGAGGCAACACTTAGTGGAAATTTGTCTGATGGCATCAGCACGGCTTGTTTTAATAGAACACTTCCATTAAGGCCTTTTCAGGCCATTAGCAGGCAACTTGTTTGCAATTAATTCCATATAAAGTTGCCTTCCCTGCAAGTTATTTACCCAGATAAAGTCAACTGCACTTCAGGCTGTTTGTTTAAACCAATAAACATCACGTTTGCTTTCTACTCTTCTGTTTTATGGCTGAATTTGAAGGAACATCGAGTTATTTGTTGCTGGAAGTTACACAACTATTTACAGTACAATACTAAATATGAAGTGCTGCTAACACATTCTCTGTTTTTAGTCCCTGTACTTTAGATTATTATTTAGCATTAAAACTCAAATAAGTCCTCTATCCAATTGGTTCAACAATGTAATAAAGGTGACAGGGATGGATTTTTATTGCATAAAACTAAAAAGCAGGAGTTCAATAATTCCTTAAAACAGTCTTCCTGCTGGGTTCTTTAGTACGGTAAGTAATGATGTTTCATGTTGGCATCCTTTTTTAATTCACTCCTAAATGTCAGGCTTTTGTGAAAAATGGTTCTTGTAGTCCACAGGCCAATTTAGCATTTAGTATAACATAAGGTAAACATTTTCTTCTTAGGACAAAACATCCATCAGATTCTCACATGTGAGAAGTCTGAGCCAGAAAATATACTGTAGTCCAAACAAGCTTGTAAATCAGCTGATTAGTATTTACTGTATTTTTCACTGTATACGTCGCACCTTTTTGCATAATTGTGCAAGTCCTGCGACTTGTACACCGAAGCGACCAATATACTCACCCCCCCACACATATTTAT